GGGTCGGGTCTGCAGGTGTCCAAGGCTGCCGCAGACCTGCTGCCGTTCTGCACGGAGCAGGCCAAGAGCGACCCCTTCCTGGTGGGCATCCCGGCCGCCACGAACCCCTTCAAGGAGAAGAAGCCCTGTGCCATCCTGTGAGCCCGCCGCAAGGCCACTCCATGGCTCCGGTCCCCCAGGTGCGGGGTTCAATAAACATGAACCAGTGCTCTTCCTCAGGGCATGCTCGCCGGGATCAGACGCGGGTCAGGGGCTGCAGGGGCCCGCCTCCCTCCCTCACCACCTCCAGGGTCACAGCCTTGGGAGCCCTGGATGGAAGGGCATCTCCCCAACCCTTTCCTGGCCTGAGCTGCTGGCCACTGTCACCCTGCAGATGCACAGGACTCGAGTCACAATCTGTACACCCACAGTGTGTCATATCTCACACACACACACACACACACACACACACACACACAGAGACAGGTGTCCTGACAGACCCAGGTACCCACTGGACCCAGGTACCCCACTGGCCTTAAGAGCCTCTCCCCTGTCCCTTTTTTTTTTTTTAAAGATTTTTTGCCATAGAATGCATGTCCTTGCTGGATACAGAGACAGAGAGAGACAGTGAGAGGGAATGTGAAAAATCACACCCCCAGGGGGTGATCATGCTGCAATCCCTCCTCCTCCATTCTCCTCCTGGGATTTCGGGCACACACGCGCAGCGTACTTGCTAGCTGCCAGGTCCGGGACTTGAACCCTTGTCTGCCATGTGTAAGTCCAGCCCCTTTAACCACTGCACCACCTGCTGGCCTCAAGACTCTCCCTTTTTTTTTTTTAACATAAAATCTAGCAGACGTTGCTTGCCCTGCCAGAGAGGGGACATGACACAGAGAAGGAGAAAGCGCCTGAGGTCACATAGCCACCTGCTGCAACCTGCTCCTCCATTCCTCTGTCCTGTTGGGATCTGGGGCACATGCACACTCCTGCTGTTTCTTTTCTTTTCTTTTTTTTTTTTTTTTGGAGAGGTTTTTTGCTATAGGGAACATGCGCTTGTCAGAAAGAGAGACACAGAGAAGACAGAAAGTGAGAAATCACCCCCAGGGGGGATGGCCACACCGCAATCCCGTCTCCATTCTCCTCTCGGGACCTTGGGCATGCACACGCACACGCACCCGGCGTGAGTTTAAGCCACCGGGTCTAGGACTCAAACCGCGGTCGACTGCATGGGAGTCCAGCGACATAGCCATTACTCCAACCGCTGGTCCCATCTTTTAAATTTTTAAGAGATTTTTACTGTAGGGCACGTGCGCTCACTGGAGAGACAGAGAGACAGAAGCGAGAAATCATCCTCCAGGGACGACGGCCACCCCGCAATCCCTTTTCCCTCCGCTCTCCTCTCAGGATTTTGGGTACGCATGCACACGTGCCCAGCCCGAGTTTTAAGCCACCAGGTCTGGGACTCAAACAGCAGTTGACTACGTGGGAGTCCAGAGACTAGTAACCATTCTGCCACCTGCTGTTTCCACTCCGGGTGTGTTTCTCAAGCTGCTAGGGTAGGGACTTGAACTGGGTACTTGGGCATGTGGGGTCTGGTTCCCTTAACCACCAAGCCCTGGAGCCAGCCCATCCCGCCCTCTTGCACACGCGTGACGTGCACATGCACCTACACACACAGGGTTACCAAACCAGCACAGTCCTCCCAGTGACACACGAACGCACGTGATCACAGGCACTCGGTCGTTTCAGCTGCAGCCCCCCACACACACACACACACGAGGCTGCTGTCCCTTTCAGCTGCAGCCCCCCACACACACACACACACGAGGCTGCTGTCACACACCCAGGCCTGCCACACCCTCTCATGCTCGCTCACGTGTATGCCCCACGGCGATACCAAGCTCACAGTCCAGGCCCAGCGAGCACCAGAACGTCGGGTTTATTCCCCCTTGGCCCTCCACGGAGAGGGTGAGTCCAATCACAACCAAACTGGCAGGAGAGGGGGGATCTCCCTGGGTGGGCCACACCTCAATATCACCTCCAGGGGGCGGGGCCTAGTCCAGGGCCCCTGCCCACCCAGGGCCAAGGTTCCTTGCACCCCAGACCTGTGAGGCAGGGCGGAGGCAGCACCGACATGGGGGGCGGTCCCCCCAAAACAGAGGCCGAGGCGCAGCCTGGGGGCCAGCAGTATCCACATCCACGCGTGTCCACGCCCGCCTGCTCAGGCCTGCAGCCTCCAGACCTCCAGCGATAGGCCCCCAGAGGCGGCCACCACTAAGTTGCCTTCTGCACAGATCTGGGAGGACGAGGATTCCGGGGTCAGCAGAAGTGTCCTGAGTAGGCCCGGTGGGGCGTGGCCTTACAGGGTGGGGCGTGGCCTTACAGGGCAGGGTGGGTCCTTACAAACAGGGCGTGGTCTTACAGGGTGGGGCGTGGCCTTACAGGGTAGGGTGGGTCCTTACAGGGCAGGGCGTGGTCTTACAGGGTGGGCGTGACCTTACTGGCCAGGGTGGGTCCTTACAGGGCGGGGCGGGGCCTTATGGGGCGGGGCCTTACCCCATTCAGCACGTTGTGGTGGGTGCGAGTGCAGATTGTCCTTGGTGGGTCTGTGGGCACGTGCACCTGGGGAGGGGAAAAGGGCAAAAGTTCAAGAGGTGTGGCCTGGCTGGTATGGGGCGGGGTGGGCAGCTGTCCTGGGGCAGGCACTGGGCCGGAGCCTTACCCGGATGGTCTTGTCGGTGGACGTGGTGTACAAGGCCCCCAGCGAGTGTTTGATCCCCGTGACCTGAGATCTGTGGCCCACATCGAAGGACTGCAGGGAGGATGGGTGACAATCAGGAGAGGCTCTCCGAGGCCCACCCCCTCCGCACACATTACCCGGGTCTCCAGGGGCAGGACGGAGGCCCAGGGAGGGACCGGCAGGGGTAGGGGCAAGCGGGCACACCCGGATGAGCTGGAAGCTGCCGTCCAGGTTGGCAAAGACGTGTAGAAAGCCCTGGTTGTCACCGGCCCAGAGCTGGGGCTCCTGGTAGGACATGCAGAGCAGGTAGGAGTCCAGCTGTGGGAAGACCGAGGGACAGGGCAGCTCAGAACAGGCCGGCGCAGCCCCCAGCGCCCCGAGTCCCGGGGCAGGGCCCACCTGCAGCCGCTGCAGGACGCTGTTGGCCCTTCGGTCGAACACCACGAGGGTGTGGTCCTCGCTGCCCGAGATGATGTGCCGGTCGTCGGCCAGCAGCGCCAGCACCGCGCTCGAGTGCAGCCGCCGGCTCTTCAGCAGGGTCGGGCCCGCTTCATGGGGGACGCCGGGAAGAGGACGAGGTCAGAACCCCTCAGGGGCATACAGACCCATCGGGGATCCCAGGCTTCCATCCTCCCCGGAAAACCCTCCCGACACCCTGCCCCCAACCCCAGCCGATATTCCGCCCCCCCCCATCTCATCCCCCTCCTCCAGTCCAGTCTCAGTTCCCGGCCGCCCACAGCAGCCTCAGGTGGAAACACCTCGGTCTGCAGGTGGGCCTGACCCCAGCCCCAGCCCCAGCCGCACACCTGCTCTGCAGAGACAAGGCACCCTGCTCTTCCACTACACAAAATAACTACCACGAATAAACAAGGGACAGAAAAGTCTTGTGTGCCAGGCAGTGCTCCTTCTCTGTTTTCTTTCTTTTTTTTTTTTCAAAGAATTTATTATTATTATTTTTTTATGTTTTATTAATCCAGAGAGGGAGGGAGTGAGAAAGCAAGACGCCAGGTCTAGGACCCGAACCACAGTCAGCCATGTGGGAGTCTAGCACCCCAACCACCACACCACCTGCAGCATCCCTGTTTTTAATCCCCCCTCCTTTTTTTTCCCCTAAGAATTATTTATTTAATTCTATTTATTATTATTATTATTTTTAAAATTGGACCATAGAGAGAGGGAAAGTGAGAAAGCAAGCCATCAGGTCCAGGACTCGAACCTCAGTCAGCCCCAGCCACCATGCCACCGGCCTGCCCCTTATTTTTTTTAATTGTTAGAGGACATGTGTGCTTGCCAGAGACAGAGAAAGACAGAGAAAGCACCCCCCAATGTGGTGTGGTCACGCCGTAACCCCGTCTGTTTCTCCATCCTGTCGGGACTTTGGACACGCACCCTGCATGTTTTCCAAGCTGCCTGAGCCCGATTCAAACTGTCGTGGGCCGGGTGGGAGCCACTCCCTTAACCCAGAGACCATGGGGTGGAGCTCTCAGTGTGCCATAAACGAATTTATTTCATCTGCGGTTAGAGCTTGCTTGGGCATGCACAGCTAGGAAGTGGGGGGCTTCCCTTGCACCCCCTGCCTTGTCACCCGTGTTGCCCGAGTGTGGCCCAGGCTGCTCCGAGGGGTTCACAGCAGGCTGCGAGGCCCAAGTATCTCCTTCCCCAGCCTGACTCTGGAGCCCCCAGGGGGCCCTGCTCTCCCCGCTGGGACCCCAGGCCCACCTCTGGGGTCGTAGACGGTCACCTTCTTGTCGTAGGTACCGGTCACCAGGATGTCAGGCTGGTAGGAGAGGCACAGCACAGCCGCCTTGGCCCTGGGGACACAGGGACCAGAGGGCTGGGGCTCCGGCTGGGACTGGGCCCGCTCCACCCTGGCCCCCCCAGGCCCAGGACCCCTCACACTTTATCTCTCCGAACTGCTGCCCGTCGGCTGCCATGTCCCAGAGCTTCACGGTGCTGTCCCAGGAGCCCGAGCACACCCGGTGGTCCTGGGCCGCCAGCGACCACACCCAGCCCTGCAGGGACCAGGAGCAATTGTCACATGGACACACAGGACTCCCCACCTCCTGGGCTGCATCATCGCTCCGGGGACCTCACCACAGCCTCTGGGGGCAAGGCTGGGGCCTTCCTGATTGTGCGGATGCTCAGAGAGGTCAATGGACTCCCCAAAGCCACACAGCTCTTCTCTGTGGGGCCTCCCAGGGTGTACCTGACTTTCACTGCCAAAGCCAGACATGAATGCGTATTCATGTGTATGCCTGACTCACCTTAGTCTCCCTCGCCCTAACTACCCAGTGGGCGGAAGTAGAAACAGAGGCACAGAGAGGCCACACATCTCTCCCCAGGTCATAACAGTGGGAGAGCAAGATTACAACCGCCGAGGTCCGGCGCCGAACCCGGGGCACTTAGCGGCGGTACCCTACCCAGACCTCACAGCCCTACCCCCGCCGGGCCCTCACCTTGTGCGTGCTGTTGGGCTGGGTGCCCAAGGCCTTGACCAGAACCCGGCTGGACTCTGCCCCCAGCTGCCGCAGGTCCCACAGGTTGACATTGCGATCCCGGGAGCCCGACAGGCAGAGCGTCCCGCCCTGGGAGGGGAGCAAGCTGATGTGGTCAGGGCAGCCCCGGCCCGCTGCATCTGTCCCCCTGCCGGCCCCTTCTCACCTGGAGCAGCAGGATGGAGTCGATGGAAGCAAAATGCCCATCAGCCAGGCAGAAGTACTCAGCCCAGCGCCCGTCCTCCGCCCAGCGGGACAGGTGCTGCTCCAACTCGATGCAGGCTGCTGGCCAGTCGAAGTCCTCCTCTGTGGGGCACCATCAGCAGGGTCCCCAGTGGGCAGCTGGCCACGCCCTACCCCTGGCTTCCAGGGAGCCTGACCCGCACCAGACTCGGACAATACCACCTGCGTCTCTCGCCTCACTGCAAGCAGACGCAGACTCTGGCCTTGGGACCCCCCACCTCTGAGGGGCCCACCTCTTGGGCAGGTCCCAAACTACTCCTCACACCAACTTCCAGAAATTGGGGCTTTGGGACCAGCAGAGGGCATAGTGGTTACATCACTGGACTCTTACATGGCTGACACCGTTCAAGTTCCAGACCTGGTGGCTTAAAACTTACACTGGGTTGGGGTTGGGGACCAGCAGCTGGCATGGTGGCTATGTTGCTAGACTCCCATGTAGTCAACCATGGTTCCAGTCCTGGACCCAGTGGCTTAAACTCACGCCGGGCACATGTACGTGCGTGCCTAAGATCCCGAGAGGAGAATGGAGGAGAAGGGATTGCGGCGTGACAATCCCCCCTGGGGGGTGATTTCTCACTTTCTGTTTTCTTTCTCTTTCCTGTCGTGCCTTATAGCAAAACCCTCTCAAAAAAAAAAAGGGGCTGGCAGGTGGCATGGTGGTTAAGTTGCAAGCTGGACTCCCACATGGCCAACCATGGTTCAAGTCTCAGACCTGGCGGCTTGCTCTCTCTCTCTCTCTCTCTCTCTCTCCATTGCTTGTAAAATTAAAAAAATAATAACAATTCAAATGAAATAAATAAATATTTAAATAATAATGATAAATAAAAGAAATTGGAGTGTCAAGGGCATCTTTCCAGGCCTCGTCTCCCAGCCCAAGCTCAGAGGACTGCAGCCTCTAGACACTGAGGTCCAACCTCAGCCCTCATCCTCAGGCTGCTCACAGGAGCTGGGGCCTTACTAGTCACCCTTTCTGTTTTAGCCACCTGTCCCGGATCCAAAGAAGGACTTTTCAAGGCAGAGCTGTAAACCAGGGAACCTTGTCCAGGTGACGGGGGCCCAGCTTTATGGGAGAGTGGGATTCATGGGTGGATAGCAATACCTTGAGAATCACGGACCCAGGAACCCCCGAATCTCTGCAGAATCAAATCTTCCAGCTTAGTTACCTACCTGGTAGTTCAACAATTTGAGGATTAACAATATCAATTCAGGGTCCCTAAGCATGCTTCTCTCCCAGGAACCAATCACCAGCTGCTGCCCCAGCCTCTAGACTAGACCCAGAGCCTGAGGACTGCTGGAGTTACTCTCAGCCCCCAGTGTAGACACGCACAGCATGAGACTTCAAGTCCCTGTGTCAACGCCTAGCCAGGAACCAGGTGCTCGGTACCCACAAGCCTGATTATATATTTTTTTTTTTAAGAGATTTTTGTTATAGGGCATGAGCACTCACTGGAGAGACAGAGACCGAAAGCGAGAAATCATTCGCAAAGGGGGATGCCCATGCTGCAATCCCTTCTCCTCCATTCTCCTCTCGGGATTTTGGGCACACATGCACATGTGCCTGGCATTTTTCAGTAGCAAGGTCGGGAACTCAAACCGCCATGGGTCATATTAGGAGTCCAGCTCCTTAACCACTAAGCCACCTCCTGGCTTCGAACCTGACTATCTTTGAATCCAGAGCAGGGTGGGTTTTCACAGCCTCAGGAGTCCAAGTGTCTGCCCTATGGTCCTACCAACTGCCAGGGACTAAGGCACCACCACTAGGCTACCTCCGCCTCCAGCGAAAGCCAGGACAGCCACGAAGCCCGCTCCACGGGCTGTGTCCACGCACCCCAGGGACCCCTCTCTCGCGCCAAGCCTGACCTGAGCGGGCGTCCCCGGCCCCTGAGTGCTCGCACCTTCCACCACTGGGTAGGGCGCGCGGACGCGGCGTTGCGCGCGTAGCCTCCAGGTGACATGGTCACGCACGAGGTCGCGCAGCGTGTGGCACACGCGCGGCAGGACGTGGAGCACGAGGCGCGCGTCCAGGTAGGAGCAGATCTCCAGCAGCAGCTCCGGGGGAAGGCTCAGCAGGCCCAGCGTATCCACTGACCGGGCCTTGGGCGCGGCCCGCGGTTCCAGGGTGCCAGGGGACGCGGTGGGCGTGCACAGCGGGGAGGTGCGCGGTGGCGGTGGCGCCTGCCCGGGTTTCGGCGGACTGAGCACACGGGCCACGTAGGCCTCGGCCTGCGCGTCAGGGTCGGGCTCGGGCTCGGGGTCCGAGTCGTCATCCCAGGCGTGGGGATCGTCGCACGGCCCTAGGGGCAGCTCCATGGCGACCGGGTGGGCGCGGTCAGCCCAGCCCTGTCAGCGGCTGCCCTCGCGTCCTGTCTCCTAGGCAGCGCGAGGGCACTTCCGGCGCGGCTTGATGACGTGTTCCCCAACCGGAAGCGAGAACCTCGTGGCGAAAGGGGTTGGGAACGCACGACCCGGTTGCTCCCTGGGTTTTGTTCCGCAGCACGTCAGCCTTACGATGGGTAGTGCAGAGTCCTGATCGCCACGTTCATTAAAGTTAAGATCTCGGGGTGGGGGTGGGGGCGGCGTCGTCAGGGGCCATGGTGGGTACAGAACCTAAAGCACCCCA